GGGTCGAAAATGGAAGCCACAAATGCGCTTTGATGATGCCAGTGACAGTTTTTCCGCATTTCGATTCACGCTTTATAAGGTCGGCGGAGTAAAGTTCTCCTTTTATATTTTTAGGGAATGGTCAACGCACATTATTTACACCAGCCTCTAAATTAATGCCAAAGTAAGATGCTGCATCGATGACAAGCCCCTTTTCATCTATATGCCACTTTCAGCTTGGTATCTTTTTTACCCATAACTCTGCCATTTTCTGCGGAAAAAGGAAAAGTCAATTTATATTTGTGTACACATTAGTATAAGGTCGGAAACATCACTGAATTATGACAAAGTAAGTTTGAATTATCTCCATACTTTATGTCAACTTTTGGCAGCACTTAACTCGCACGATATTCGTAGGACACGAAATTACTTCAAGATGGTCGTTGATAATGACAAACATATGCATCCATACCGCTTCATTCGGTATGAGGTACTAAGCTCCATCCTTTCTCACCTTTTAAAATCGCAACTGTTCTCTAGCCTCAATGAGCAAATCGGCAAGTTTTATATTCACCGCCTTTAGCTTGATTTACTGGTATCAAATCTTACGCGTTTCTTGTTTACCCGTTTAAACGCAACATTAAGGGGTCGAGTGAGGATTAGCAACACTTGACTTTCACACAATTCGTCTTTTCAAGAGGGAGGCCAATGCTTGACTTACTGTCGAGTTCAAAAGGTGAGGAAGAGCGATGAGGTCGCGGTACAATGGTAGCTGTAGTAGTCTTTCGCGGAGATGGATCGAAATCCAACTCGTCGGCGTCGAAATCCGAGTAGTCCTCGTAAGCGAAAGGCTCCATGCAGCTGCAATTCTTTGACTGCCGTCACTGCTACTTTTGCTGCTGCTTCGCTAATGTCTTACGGCCTCCTATTTGCCATTTGGCCATCCATCGCAGGCAATCGATACTGCTAGCCAATGGACTTTCGCCATTTTGGGCGGTCGCTTGTGGGTGTGCGAGCGTATGCGTTCGGGACGCATCCATGATCTGGCACACACGCACACATACGGTCACTTCATCATCGTCAAGCTGTCACAACTGTAATAACACCCTAATCCAGACCTTCTCCTCCTAGTTTTTTAAAGATGTGTCCCATCCTCGAAATCCTCATACGACCGGTGTGTGTTTCACCACTGTGGAAAGAGGTCGATCTAATACAAAGTGAATCAGATCACATAAAAGCGGGATCTTAGAGATGGATAACCTCGTCTCATTCACTTTTGTCAATCATTAAGCACCAAACAGTACGTGGGCACTGCAATATCTTGTTTACTTGGGCCTTTGATGACCCATTGACCAAATAAACTACTTAATGGATCTTTACGTAAGAGTTCTTTGCTATACACACTTTCTGTATATACTTGAAATTCACGTTTCGAAAGATGAAGCAGCTCTAGTGAACCAGAAATATGGTTGTTTTAAAATGTTCTTATGTCTTA